CAATAATTACGTCATCGATGTATGCAAAAATGAAGTCTAGATCTCGAAATACATTATTGTTAAGGAATCTTTGAAATGTTTGAGCAGCGTTTCTCAATCCAAAGGTCATCCGGTTGAACTCAAAGAGTCCAAACGGAGTTGTAATCGCTGTTTTCGGAATATCTTCTTCCCTGATACTTAAATTATGATAGGCACGCTGAAGATCGATACGAGAGAATATGCTTTTTCCTGCTAACAGGTATGTACAATCCTGGATTCGTGGTATTGGGTATCTATCGGGTTTGGTGATGCTATTCAAACGTCGATAGTCGCCACATGGTCTTAGCTCTCCGTTTTTCTTGATGACCACATGTAACGGGCTTGCCCAACAACTTTTCGATGGCTTGCATATTCCCATGTCAACCATTCGCTGAAACTCGGCCTTGACCCTGTCATACTTATCAGGTGGCAATGGCCTCGGTTTTGCAAATACAGGTGATCCTGTTGTTTCTATGTAATGCTCTACAGAATGGCATGGAGTCTCCTTGAAGCACATAGGTTTTGTTATATTTGGGTATTCTGACAATAACGCATTATATTCACAAGAAGAGTTATCTGTTCTTACTGATGGTTCATCCCATAAACTCAACGTGGCAATTGTACACATATTAGTTACTTTATCTATCAGTTTCTTTTGGTTAATGTCTACTAGTAACTTATGATAGCCTAAAAAGTCAGCACCTAATATAGGTCGTTTAACATCGGCGAGCACAAACGTCCAACGATACGGTCGTCGTAACTTAAAGTCTAAATCGAGAGTTTTTGTGCCGTAAGTTGTAATTTCACTGCCATTAGCTGCATACAGTTTATAGTTGTTAAACACATTTTCACCAAAAAGTTTTTTTTTATATGGTAAAACAGAAATGTTCGCACCAGTGTCCACTAAAAAATTTAGTCCGGTGATCATATCGTTGACACATAAGCGGTGAGCTGGTGTTATCGTGCTAACCTCCGCTGGCGGTTGCACCACGCTATTCAGTTTCCCTGTTGGTTGTTTTTCTTCCACGCACACGGCTCTACACATTTCTGTGCTCTATTACGAAACTTGTGATGATAGTAACAGAGCCAGTCAGCACTTTCTGGCGTGCGCTTCGTAGAATTTCTACCTCGAGACGCGGAACGATAACGATGCATACGGGAATTATTTCTAAACCTTGACCTTGCTCTCTGCATCTCATTCATTTGAAGACTCAATTTAGATATTTCGGACAAAATAAATGCTGTGTCATTGCTACTAGAAGTCGTTGCTTGTATCTCCGCTATATCGTTTAAAGGTCTTGTAGTTTCCATTATCTTATCTGCTACCGCCGCCAATTTCTCCAAATCTTTCATCTCGCTGACCGCTAACACTGCTCGTACCGCCGATGGTAAGTGACCTTGCCACATGATTATTAGTGTTTCGTCCGGAATTTTGCCTCGCGCCAGATCTTTCATGCGCCTTAAAAGCTGTGAGGGTTTCTGGTCTCCGAGTTGCATTTCTGAGAGAAGTTTTTGAAATTGTCTGTTTTCCGATTCTTCGTAGGCCACCAACAAACGAGCCTTGAGCGTTTCAAACTTTTTGTTTTCTGGAGGCTTCAACAAAATGTCGCTAACCTGCTGGATAACGTCTTTGCCAAGTTTTGCCACAACAAGATTGAATCTAGCTTCGTCGCTGAGTTTTTGTGGACCTAAAATAGCTTCACACTGCACAAACCATAATCTTGGCTGATCACACCAAAATTCTGGTATTCTTGATGAAATTGTCACAGTAGCCAACTCCACAGCCTCGTTCAGGATTGTGGACGAGGTTGTCATCTTGCTTTGTTGTGCAGTTGGGTTGCTCATTGTGTATTCTTGTGAGTCGATTCTCGTCTGGTCGACGGACAGGTCTGCATGGACTGCAGGATCACGTCGGGGTCACCACTTTGGGGACTTGGTGCTCTTCAATGAAATGCCGATTATATGATGTTATATAATTAACACAATACACATGTTTTCAGTACAACGATTACAGATCGACTGTCTACTCTAGATTAATATCAATTACACGATGCGACACTTGTTAACAAAAAAGGAGATGTGCCGCAGGCACAATATGAAGAACACGACTGTGTAATTAATTATCTTTATTAATTCTACCACTTGACTGCCTCGTTGGCCGAGTGGTCGTGCGACTACCGGGCAAGGGGTCTCGGGTTCGATTCCCGGGTCGGGCAAAGTATTACAAAGTATCGGGTTAAAAAAAATCTCAGTAATAGCACGGAGTCGGAGGAAATGTGCCCGGTATATATGGCAATAGGCTCACCCTCTATTACATGGGACCCATAACATAAATAGTGAAAAGTAGGTGTTACTTCTGTGTGCACCTCTGCCTACCCCTTCGGGGACAGAAGACGTGATGTTATGTAATTCTACCACAGTTTAAACTGTCAAACACCAAGCGGCCACCGGTGACCGCAACCTATTGTTCTATAATTGTGTCTACAAAACCGGTACTCGACGAGTTAAAATGAGATATAGATTAAAACAACAAATATGAATTATGGTCCCGGGTCGAAATTTTCCAGCCATTGCACTAACCACGTCTATCGATTCATGGTTTCAATTTAACATGAACTATTTGCTTAAGCCTTCTCATCTATCCGCAATCCCAAAGAACAATACTAATACCACAATACAAATCCATTAATTTTGTTTCAATTGAATCAATAGCATTTCTCATTCGTGCGTTATGAGTTCTTTTATTTAATTGACACTGATTAATGTTCTTAATGTCAGTGATCTTGTGGCAGTATTTAATAAGCTGCGTGTGAGGCTTTCAAGTCTTTTGTTGTAGCGAAAATTGAATCTTTAAGTTTGCCGACTGCTTAGTTGCTGGCCCGCTGTGTTGGTTTTGTAGTATAATGTAGCTACAGAAGAAAGAACATTAAATAAACTTTACAGAAATTCGGGTTATAAAAAGTTGTGTCAAAAACTACCTCGTTGACTGCCTCGTTGGCCGAGTGGTCGTAAGTGCGACTGCCGGGCAAGGGGTCTCGGGTTCGATTCCCGGGTCGGGCAAAGTATAACTGGGTTTTTTAAAAATTCTGACTAGTAGTACGGAGTCTGGAACTGTGCCCGGTATATGGCAATAGGCTCACCCCAATATTACATGGGACTCATAACATAAATAGTGAAAAGTGGGTGTTACATTGTACAGTGGTATAATGTGCACCTCTGCCTACCCCTTCGAGGATAAAAAGCGTGATGTTATGTTATGTCGTTATGTAAAAAACTAAAGTTATTATCATACTTTTTCATTGCCTTAATATTCTAATGCACACTTTGCACTTATCATTACATTCCCGGACGTACAAGAGAATCATCTTCACTTTATTTGCGGTCGTTTAGATAGATGCTAGACTGTCTATTACTTTAATAAAATACCTACAATCGTGACACCGTACCACAAGTATTTGTTTTTTTGTTCTACATCTCATTTAAGTGCATAAATCTGGTTTGACAATATGTTTATGAAGACTTAAGCCCAATTCTTAAATGGCCATCGTCTATAAGGAATTCCATTCTCGTGTCCTTTGGATATCTTAGTCAGTTGGTTAACCAGCATTACAAATGACATCAGTGATACCACTAAATGTCAAATTTTCATGTAGAGGAACTACACCTGCCGTGTATAATAATTAAGCAGTACCGTAAGGTACTACCAGGTAAGGGTTTTGAAGTCAATACCTTTTTTTTCTTTTTTTTTTTAACAAACGTTGCCCCCCTTTGGGATTTTCTCCTGTGTCGTGGGTGCGTTTACAAACATACAAGTTCACATACACAATGATACCCAGACCAGAAACAACAATTTGTGGATCACACAAAGTGTTGTTCCGTGCGGGAATCGAACCTGCGACACGTTGCACGGCAGCCGGTTGCCCAGCCACCACACCAACCGTACAGTCACTTTGTTTTTATACAGTTAACTATTTTGATGAATAAAATTTGAAATAGAATTGTGCTCGATATTTGGTAAGAGACTCATAACATAAATGACTTCACGCCTTTTATCAATGAAGGGGTAGGCAGAGGTGCACATTACGGCTCTTAATACCACTGTACAATGTAATAGGGGGTGAGCCTTTTGTCATTTACCGGGCTCTTTTTCAGAGTCCGTGCTACTACTGAGATTTTTAAAAAAACCAATAATACTTTGCCCGATCCGGGAGTCGCACTTACAACCACTCGACCAATGAGGCTGTCGACATAAAGTACACACCTTCTATGAATACAAAACTATTGGTTAAAATAATTACTATCTCCAGACTTCAAGCTTAGCCATATCACCATAATAAACTCTGTCTGTCTTTCTCAAGAACATTTCTGGAAATATGTACGTATCTCTCGTAGCAAGACGTGACAAGGTGCGGTTTGGGCACGCGCTAAGCTTTCTTCGTTTAATGGACTATCTATTGACACACCCAAGTGTTTGCTCATCCTTTAAGTTAAGCGATTTCTGTTTATACACGATGTTTAGTTTCCACTTAAGTGTAATAATATTGGGACCTATTGTGTTTGTCGTCTTGTATGAGTGTTGGATTATGGTATTGTTATAGTCCTTCAAAATGGGATGAGTTTAAGTACCTACTTGTTAGGTTTAGTATTTGTATGGGTATACCCCTAAGACTTTCATACTTAGCCGTATGAGATTGCTTCCTTGTTCAATAACTTTGAAGTTTTACTTGTTATCTCTTTTACACCTTTGTGTTTTAATAGAAAAAATCTAACTTAGTTATTAGGTAAGTCTCTCGGGTCATTATCGTCATCTCTATCTATCTCTTCACTACTTTTGTGTAGTCATAGTGTGTCATTAATGAAAACATTCACAATAACTAGATGAACATTCCGATACAACAAAATACCAACACCGATTAATCACTTTCAACCACATCTAGGTAACCAACTAAATACTACTCAGCATTGGTTTTCTTATCTTCCAGGTGAATTCGACATGCGAGTGAAGTCGTGTGCTGCGTCAGATGGCTCAGGCCATGTGATTCAACTGTCAGATGAATATGGATGCGTGCTACGACCTAAGATGATATCACGGTAAGACGCTAATGTATGAAGTTCTTATCTACATCTAGCTTCCATCTATACACCTTTGGAAAGCTAGCAAAGGCCTTAGACAAGTTGACTTGGAAAATTATGGATACGACAAAATTGTATTAATTTAGTTACCTAGTTAGTGGTACTGAGAAAATTATTTTCAATAGTAGCTTTTTTTGTAATTGTAATGTAAGATGATCAGGTTACTTCTTATATATAGAAAAAAGTATCAAGATGTGGGTAACGTTTTCTCATACTTGAGGAATTCGTATTTTGAGGTTTTATAAATGTTTTAACAAAAATATTATCCTAAACTAAACTAGATGTAGTCAATTACTTCTACTGCAATCCTTATGGTTCAGAACTGGACGAAAAACATCAAAGCAAATTTTATTTCAAACTCAAGATTTAATATTTCTATGTCATTTCCAGGTTCCTCAAAGCCAAAGCGGTAGATGAGAGAGCAACAGTCATCACCTACGCTTTCTTCCATGCCTTCAAATTCCCTGATGCTCTAAGCGTCCACATCAGGTGTAAGGTCGAGATCTGCAGACATGGCTGCCTGGACCATTGTCAACTGGCTGGCGTAACTCCTCAACGACATGCAGCATTGGACAGGAAAGATGATAGAACACACCAGGACCATAATGAGATCAAGTAAGTTTGGTTGTTAATATGATAAGTATAGGGAATATCAAGCAAGAACTGTATATCGATTCTTTTTCGAATACAATTCGAGATTCCCTGTCACCAAAAATTATTAACATTGAAAAACCTGACAATATTTTAACCGAATAGGTAGTCGAGCTAAAAAACGCCATGCTCGAATTATACTCTATGGTATAAAAGCAATTAAAATAAACATTTATTTGTAGGGTAACGATACTGTAAACTAATAATGAAATAGTTACCGTTATATTACAAGAAAGTGATATTAATTTAAAATAGGTATGATTTATGAACATAAATCATGATAGAACTGAACATGATAGAATATCAGTGTAAAGGTAAATACAGAATAATTTATATTCTTTAGAAATTTACGACGTTATTATAACAAACTTCCAAAGCGATAATGAAAATAAATCAAATTCACTGGAAATAAATTACAAAGGACAATAAATCAAATTAAATATAATAACCATTTTGTCGTTATTATTATAGATCCCACAACAATAGAAGTTGTACCTATGGCTGTACGGTCGGCCGTAAAATAGAACTTGAAATCTCGCACTTCCCAGTCCAGATAATTGAGGCAGTTAACATCAATCAATATCAATTATGCAACCTGCAACATTATGCATGGAAACCCCTCCGACTACTGCACTAGAGAGTAAACTTTGATCAAAATTATCAACAATGATTTGTCCACAGTGACTCATCAGCTGAAGACGGCGGTTTATCAGATCTATCAGAGGAAGCCCGTCTTCCACTAGAAGAAGCCTTCGGTGATGAAGTGTCTGGCGATGTTGTTCTGGCTCCAGCTCCACTACCACAAAGAGCACCAGCACCTGTTATTGAACCTGAAACAGATCACATGTCTGCTGTTGAAGAACTGGTTGAGGCTCTTGCTAGGCCTTTCACTGTAAGTATTTTAAAGTTTTCTCCTTGCTTAGGTGTGGTTACTCCTTACTTTGTAAGTGTGGGACAGCTATGCTTCGGCACGAATGGGCCGGCTCGACCGGAGTGATACCATGGCCTCACAGAACACCGACGTGAAGTAACGCTTGCGTTGTGTTTCGTCGTGTGAGTGAGGTTACCCAATTACTCTCCTCTTCCCCAGTCTCCCCAATCCCTGAATCCCCAACGATCCTCAAACTCCTAATCCCCAAAAGGCCGGTAAAGCACTTGTAACGCCTTTGGTGTTCCAGGTGTCCATAGGCGACGCCGATTGCTTACCATCAGGTAATCCGTCTGCTCGTTTACCGGCTTATGCCATAAAAAAAAACTTTGTCACAAATTTATTGGCGTTGTAAGTCTTAATTAGTTTTTCAGGCTTAAAAAGGTCTAATAAATGTAATGTGTTTTTACTATTTCCAGGATCGTCCAACGAACATTGACCGAGAACGTTTCCCTCATGGGCCTCGTAACCTTGGCACTCACATGAGTCCCGAACCTTCTGGCGATGGAGTAGTTCCAGCCAAGGCACCAGGCCCAGCCGTAGCTGGTCCTAGGTCTCTTCGTAAACGACGAACCGTTCGAGACGCTAGGTCTGCTGATGTTGGTGTTTCGGGAATATACGAAGTAGTCTCCGAAGCTGATTTGGCTTTTGGCCCATCAAGAACTGAACCTGTTACTGTGTTTAGTGGACGGATTCGTGAAGAGGTAATGTTATATAATCAAATATTTGAATTTTATTCATTATGAACCAAATTTAAAACAAAATTTGATCATATGTTTTTGCCAGGTTGTCTACGGAATTTGCATGGGTGCTGTTAGCTTCGGCGCCCTGTTTGCTTCGGCCGCTGGAGCTGCAGCGGGTGCGGCATTAGCTGCAGCAGTTTTACTTCAGAAACTTCGTTCACGGATGGCAGTCCAACCTCCAATCCCAGTATCTCCGGCACCAGCTTCGCATTCTCTTGCCGCGTGGATGGCTCTCAGACTCCTCGGCTCACAACCCCATCCACACCACTCCCGTGATGGTTGACCCATCACCCCAACCACAATCCTACCGAAGACTGTTCTTAGATGCTAAATATTCGAATTATATTTCTTCTCCATTCATTTTATAGTATGTTGTAGTAATTTTCTTCTTCCCTATGTGTATAATATTGAAGAAATAATATTTTCTTCCAGTTAGAGTTAGCTACCTGATAAAATTTAGTTTAGTACCCTTAATTGGAATTAAAAGGTCAGTTGCATCCATGTATTAGATGTTAGACTCGCAGAAAATTATTTAAAATATGCTTATAATTTATGTTAGTTGTTAAGTGATGTTTCTAGATCGCCTTAAATAATGGTGCTAGGTCGTGCTACGGACGAAGTCCTAAGAAACCTGATATTTTGAATGTTTCACTCGTGTGAATATTATACATTTTTATACCGATAAGTTTGTACAGATTTTTTTCTATATTATTATTGACTAACTTATTATCATTGTCGTGTTCTTTAGTGTCTATAGGATAAGTATAAACGAGTCATGCCATTAGAGTAAGGTTTAGTTAATTCGTACGATTTCGAGTTTCATGTACTTAGCACAATTTACGAATAGTGTCAGATGATGCAAAATTAATATTGATTTCGATTATTTTGGAATCGATGTTATTTGCAACATTATCTTTAGGTACTGAAACCTCTGAGGCTTTAGGCATACTACAGCAGTAGGTACCTGCTCAATATTAGCTATTCATTTATTTATTGCTTAATTTTATTTTGGCAAATAATTTTGACATTCAAATACTTCATTTGTTTTCAATTGACATACATATTCAGCGTACTATCTTCACATGTTATTAACTTTTCTTTCATTTAATGCAAAATAATAATTACGCCAGTAGGTAACTTTAAAATTATTCGATCATTATTTTAAATTAAATGAATATTATCATGCTAACGAAAATAATAGTTATGCCAACTAATGTGCTTTACATTTTAGTATATTTGTATACGTAGTTTTAGATATTTTTAAATTTAGACCAACATAGACAGTGAAATACAGAAATATAGAGTTATAATAAACTTAACCCATATTTTTATACTACTTTATAAAGAAGTTGGTTAAATTGTTCATATTAAGTACATTTAGTACATGCATGGTGTAAATGAAACGCTCCCGAAAAACGCTTACAAAATGATTATACCATTTTATTCGTTTTTGTTTTCGTGTTATTCATGCAACACCAGCCTTTAGCAATTGATTACACCTATTAATACATAAAACAAACATATAGTCCTTACTCTTATACAAATAAAACTTGTTTTTAAACAGCACCTGTCGGCGTTTGTCAGAAGCGTACCGTTAACACCCTATATTTTTATATCATTGTATAGAAAAAAAATATTTCAAATTTAGAATTATTAAAATACTGTATCATACAATTATTTTTCAGACACCAATGAGTTCTAAGTAATAGATTAATTCATTTCAAATGAAAAAAAAAGAATTGCATTTATTTAAGCATTTATTTTTATACTGCTCAATATTAAATGTAACAATTTTAGCTATTATTAGCTATAAATAGGTAGGCCTAATTTAGTTTTACTAGCTAGATTCATAAATGGTTTTAGAGATCGACAAAATATTTCAACAAGGTTTTTATAGCCCTATACAAACATAGATAAAAGTGGCTGTTACATTGTACAGTGGCATTAAGTGCCGTAATGTGCACCTTTGCATATTTGTTCGGGGTTAAAAGGCGTTATGGGGGTTATGTTATGTTTGTATTACCGAATAATTGTTGATTACCCTGTTGAAAATTGTTGAAAATCATGCCCTAAATTTATTCATACAAAAGTAGCCTCTAAACATTGAAAATAAGGTCTATAATGTTTAGTGGAGAGCGGTCACCAGTGACCGCTTGGGGATATATGGGTAAGGAAGATTGCAGAATTTCGGCTTTGTTTAACCAATGACTTTAATGAAATGTCGAAAGTTTTAACATAGCAAAATTGAAAACATATAAAATCTTCTAATCTTATGCTAACTTATTCCGATATTATTAAAAAAGAATAAAACAGTTACTTAACCCTATTCAAGTTCGTCGATCTCTGAACCGAAATAAAAGTAATAATTACGACATGCCACCCAAAAATCTTGCATTTATTATAGAAAAACTATTATTATTTAAGTCGAATAGAGTTTTCATATGAAAACTATCTTCCTAAGTGCAATTTTACTTTTTATTATTTAAATAATTGTATTTATATATACGAAATATTTTATTGTAACATAACTGGTTAGATGACGTGAATAATTCTTGTTTACTTCTACCTATCCCCTTGTAGGGGATGTTATGTTACATTTTCTACGGTTATGGTGTATGGTGTATCTTGTGGCAGTAATTCTTTTATAAATAATATTCTGGGGAGTACTTTATAAATAAATGTATGAACAAAATGTTTTAAGTTTCACTGTATGGATGCGGTGACGATGTGTTTGTCGCGTAAGCACCTGTTAATTTGTTTAATGGATTAAAAATTATGTTGAAACATATTTATCTTTGTTTTTTTCATCATTATCAATATTCCTTATCATTTGTGTACCTTCTACAATCAGACACGGTTTACTGAACCTGACCCTTTTGTTTCCTACGATTGTAACGCCATAAGTTGTACTCCGGTAGCAAATAGTAACTACAGGCAAACCACAGGAAGAGATTCCAGTTGGAATATGTGGGGCCTATGTACTCTGTTTTTATATATGTGTTGTCCTCTGTGTTGAATGTGTGTACATAAAAAAAAATACAAAAAATACAAAAAATACAAAATTCATTTTTGTGTCGAGCTTGTCGTAATTTTAACGACATCAGTAGTAGGCATTATGTAGACAGATTTTGTACAAGCCATAAGTTGCACTTCGGTAGCAAATAGTACCTACCTACAGGCAAAATTCATTTTTGTGTCGAGCTTGTCGTAATTTTAACGACATTAGAAGTAGGCATGATGTAGATACTTTTTGTACAAGCCTGAGGAAAGCTAGAACCATGATAAGTGAAGACTTTTTTAATAGCTTATCTTTGTTTTATTTTTTTTAATATGTAGTCGAGCTGGAGCCCCGGTAACCCGTTAGGTAATAGTCTTGTCCCTATTGGCTATGTGCAAAGCGAATAGTGGCGGACAGATAACGACAGCAGCGCACAACACGGCAGAAATTGGAAACAAATGCGGATGATGCAAACCCGGTTTTTATTATAATATTCATTTTACAGTAAAACTATTGAATAAATTGCACTTAAATAATTTCAACAATGATATTTTAATCTTTGGTTTTATTTATAGTTAATAGTTTAGGAAACATATTTTAAGTTACTATGTCGAATTAGGTTAAGTTATCTGTAATGGCAAAGTAATTGTATTAAATAAATAAATAAAATAAATAAATAAATTTATAATTGCAAAAATAAATATAATGTTTACATTATTATTATTGGACAGCTTCCGCAAATGTTGTAAACGGTACGCGTCGCCACTGTCGCGCACATAGCCAATACTCATACTTCATCATCTCATTAAGTAGGCACTGAGATAGGTATTTTTTTCATGCTTTCAAGGTTTCATTGTTTATTTTTAATAATTGATCAATTTTATAGTTTACAATATACAAAATTTTAAAAAAAATCCAGCCTGTGTATAATATCTTAATTGTAGTCGGCTCTGACGACACCTTTTTACTATTCAAATGAAAACGCCACATTACCTCTATTAACTCATTATTTATATTTTTTCATAGGAAATCCTGTGAAAATAGTCTTTTTTCTTATACTCACACTTCATCATCTCATTAAGTAGGCACTAAGATAGGTATTCTTTTCATGCTTTCAAGATTTCATTGTTTATTTTTATTCATTGATTAATTTTATGGTTTACATTGTACAATTTTACTAATACGATGTATAATCTACGAGAGTTAGGCAAAACATCTCCAAGTTTGTTGAAAAAAAAACCCATAGATAAAAGATAATTTATTATTTTGGTCTGGTCGAACATTACCTACGAATATTTTATGGATTTTATGCAGTCAATGAATTATTTTATTAGAGTACAGAAACTGTAATCGTATATACTCTACACTAAAGTATTTTTCTAGTAAGCTATGGTTTAAAATATAGGTAAGTATTTATTAGTCATTTACAATTTCGAATTGCATGATAATAAACTTGTTCTTTATTACAATAAAATCTATTAGCTACATATATTGTTAATCTAGTAGCTGGTAGGTACTAAGTACCTACGTTTCTTAGCATTAAATTGAAAAACAGAACTATCAGTATCCGAATTCATCTTTCATGTGAAGTTTTATACATTTTGTGATTGTATAGTTGAATTACATCATTATTATTATTACTTTTATTATCCTCTTTAAAGGAAGACGACTTTGAACTTTAAAATAACTGATAATACGGCAGTTTTTGTAATTTATTCAAAATTTGGTTAATGTAGCACATAACACCGTTTTTTATTCAAAGTGAGTCGAATGGTGTACAGTTATTTATCAATTCTATATAAAAGCATTTTATTTTAATATCCATATTATTTATATTTGCAGAAATAAAACAACAACATGTCCGTGATAAAAGTTTAATTTTCCAAATGTATCGTTACAACATTCATTTCATAAAGTCATCAAACATTTGATGTGGTACAACCTCAATTTAAATTATTCAACTCATTTATAAAATTATAATAAAATGAAACATTTAATTCCATTGTAACAATTAATAAACCTTTATAATAATCATAATGCGAAGAAAAACAATAAAATAAGAAGAAGAGGTACTCAGGTGGTATAAAATAAATAAATCGCTATACGTACTCGTAATAATGACTAAGACTTAATTAACAATAAATATATTAATACTAATGACAAGTTATTTTAAATTACATTCTAGCGGTTCACCTAAGTTGATATTCCGTATGATTCATTTTCCGTTGCCTCTACTTCGAATGGACCTTCGAGAAGAGGTAACAGAAGATTGTACTTACAATATTTTAATACTACATTTTGTGTTGATAATTTGTTCTAACGTCGCATAAACAACTAAGAAAACATACAACAGGTTAACTCAACAGTTGATGTCAACAAAGATGTAACAAACACGGCTGAATTAAATGTCAATTCAACCAACATGCGAAATAGGAATCAATACGATTTAACTGAAGTTCAACGGACTGTCGAGTTACACATACATTGAATTAATACTAAATAAGGGTTCCCAGATTAACTAAATTCATTTGAGCACTCGTACAACACGCAAATAAATAATTGGCATGGTCTATATACTTCAGTCTCATCACACTAATATGTACAAATTAGATTATACACGCTCTGTTACGAGTAGAAGCGGCTCTTTGAAATTACATGCGCGGTCGGTGGGTGCGGCCGGGCTATCGTCGTCACTGCAGCCGTCTTCTTCTTCAGAGTCGAAATTGGCCGTAACTTTAAGAACAAAACTGCTGACACTGCGCAAGAACATAATAACGTAGCGAGAAGAGCTCCTAATGTCGCTGCAAATCCAGGTGTGGTCATACAAACAAGACCGGGCGTAGGAATCACTCTAGGAGCTGCGCTTTCTTCTGAAGTGTCCATATTTAAGTCGCCAGCGGACACTACACGGATCACTCTGTTCACACCGACTTCTTTCTCAGGTGATGTCGCTCGTCGTTGTCTCCTCACTCTCCTCTCATCACGTCTGGCTTCAATACCCACTTGTTGGTAAGCATCAATCTGTGGTGGTCCATACTCAGCATGAGGAGCGATCACATTGGGATTTCCATCTGAACACTGTTCTGGGCATCTGTATCTACAAATCTGAATAGTACACTGGAAGTGTACTTCCATTGAGTCGGGGAACTTGAACGCCTGGAAGTGAGCATATGACAATACGCTAGCGCTGGCTCCGAAGTTTTTGATCTTCGTAAATCTTGACATTAGTTTCGGTCGGGTAACACAGCCTCGCCTATCGACTAGTTGTATAGGAGCGCGTTGACCGTCGTGAGCAACACAATCTCGAACTAACATATCGAACTTTGCATCATCGTCCTTGATTGCGAGAACCATTGTCATTGTCTGTCCGATCTTCACCAGACCAGATACTTCGGAAGCCCAAGGTCCTTTGCCGACCTGGATTTGCATCCAGCAACCAACATTGTCACCAGCAAAGTCAGCTCGCACAACATCCAACATATCAACAGGGAATGGTCGGAAAGTGACTGCCTTTTCGTATTGGTCGTGCCACGTGCACCTTAGCTTTCTGGCTTGATCCCATACTTCCTGCACTTGTGGGTCGTATTGAATAACAATTACGTTTTCGAAATAGGTTCCAGCTGCCGCCACGTCTCCTCTATACCTCGGGTCTCCGCTGCCAGCAGTTCCACATGCATGGGCGCCAATTTCGAATGAAGCGGATGTCCTGCCTAGGTTGGGTGGAAGATGCACGCACTGATGGTTGGAGTAGTGTCCCTTGGAGAATACAATACCAAAGAATGGTTTGTCAAAACTGAGGAAGACTCTCATTGCGTTCTTCTCACACTTCACGTCTAATGACACGATCTTCGGCATATCGGGAGCAGGTGCTGGCCAGACATCACCAGCTCCACTGAAAACCTTGTCGCTAGCTGCGGTTTGTGCGTCGGCGGGAGGTGCTGGAGGTGGTGGTGGCCCTCGGAAGCCAGGGCCGACGTCGTTTTTGTGGTGGTTCACTGGAGGTCCCAAAGCGAATGGCTTTGAATGGATCTGATGATGATTCGGGATTCTCGGCATGCCTGAAATGTTAAACAAATTCTGATTAATTTATTGCATACTGCTATTAAACTTTTTAATGAAATAAAATAAAAAATTTGATTTACAATATTTTAGACTATTGCTTTTTAACCTTTCAATTATTTAATTAAAAATCCTTACCTAACGGGTGATGTGCCTGATGATGAGGTGGGTTTTGACGGCGATTGTGTGGTGGGGGTGCAGGTGGGGGAGGTCCATTGTACGCGTGGCTTGGGGTGTCTCGTTCAGAAGATTCCATCGCTAGCTGATCGCTCGAGGGCTCAGCAGCACTGCTGGTGTCAGATCCAGCACCTCCACCGCCACCGCCGCTCTCGTTCGATGATTGGTCACTGAGAGTGCCACTCTGAAAATATGAAATGCAGAAATGAATTATGATGTCAGATTAATAATCTTTGACAGTTTCATTTATTTTGTTTGTAGGTTTGTTGTTCATCATCATGCTCTTATTGTGAACGATTTTCTTTATCTATAAGTAGTTGTTTCTATTATCACGTGATGTAGAAGTGTGAAATTTAAGTTATAACTTTTGGGAGTATCACTTTTCATTTCGACCTAAATAGAAGTAACCGTAACGAAACCACTAAACATGTTAACCATGACAAGTATACGAACTTCTCAAATCTCATAACTTATACAGGCATGGAAATTTTCTTGTTATTTTGTTGTTCACGCCCAGCTTTCACTATGCTACGTAGGCTTTATTTTAAAATGTTATTTAATACGACACACTGACCGTTTTACGACACCTCAAAGGTTATGTGACAAGTTAAATAGTTGTTCGAGGTCATGAACAAAGAAAAGCAGATGATTGCGCATTTTACCAACACAACGGATATAAATTGGGAGACCTTTAAAATGATAATGTTGGACTGTTCAATGGACACTCATTTCACCGACAGAATGTTTTGGGATTTATTACAACTCATCAAAATTTAAAGGCCAGTTTATTTAAATTTAAAACGATTAAGGATTAAAAAGAGAGATTACGCCATTGTATCAGACCGGTTGTTCCCTTTCATTACTTTCGCTAGCATAAATAAAGCCACTTTAGTTATTAATTGGCTACTTCCTCAATTATAATACTCAAACATCGATTGCTCATAAACTTGTAACAGCTTAGCGTATCAGAACTTAAGTAATACAACTTCCTGGGTCCACGAATAGTAACACGTGAAAGTTGTACCATAATGGTTCCCGTTCTTAAATCATCGGGTCGCTTCGGTTTTCAAATATTTTCCGTACCAACAGGTTTCCGAAATTAGACAAACCGGCTACACGGAATTTCTCGTGTTAATTGTAATTTTTAGACTGTTATTTTATTTAGGCGGCTTTTAGATTCTTTGGTATCTAGGTTGTATATTTTAGCTATATTTAATTTCAAAACATGTAGACGAGATTAGACTGGTTGGCGCCAGAATTTCGTTTTAGTAAAGAACTATTCTATGCTTAGAGATTTCAAATACAATTCAAAATCTTTCTTTAAAATAAAACGTCCCGATTTTAATATCAAATTCATTTAATAGATTTAAATGGCTCTTTTACTATCCTGGTTGCTAAAAGTAATATTGAATAGCACTTTAAAATTAATATCAAAATTAATCGTAGCCAAGAGATTATATTTCTCATCACATCTGTCCTCAATATTGATAGCGATGTTATTAATGTTGTGAATAGTGGGTGTCGCGGCTGTGGCCACCATTTTATTGGTTGGATCGTCAACAGCCTTACAACTCTCATTTGTTTCGCCTCTGGCAATGAAATTAGAAAGTATTGGTCTGTTAGATACGTTTTTCGATAAAGATTTATTCGAGGGCTCATGCCTTGAAGTGATTCCAGCAATTATTACTGAATGGGATAACACGGATATTCGTGTAATAGATTGATTGTATTACGTAATGCTGGGAGAAAGTTTGTGAAGGAATTTTATTGGGTTATAGATAGGGCCGTGTGTGGTAAGCTTGTTATAGTGTTGTAAATGTAGGGGAACTTCATTTTATTGGTTTATCTCCATCATGTCACTAGAAGTGATAGGTGAGTCATAATTCATCACTGCTATCTCGTTTTTGTGGGTCCGTGATTCAAGAAGTTGGTAGATTTTTTGTCCTCGTGTCCACTTTTTTTGTTATCATTTTCTATTGGAAAATTGACTAGGATGAAATCAATGTTCTCAATGTATTCTATTAAACTGTCAAACACCAAGCGGTCACCGGTGACCGCAACCTATTGTTCTATAATTGTGTCTATAATGACGGTACTCAACGAGTTAATCTGATAATCCTATCGTTTTATACTATTTAACTGTACCTACTGTAAGGAATTGTGAAAAGGGTACTAGTATGCGAAGCGTATTATTTTATTTGTGAAATATAATCTTCAGTAAGGATGTACCTAATCAATCGAATTGTGTACACATACTTGTATTACCGATAACAAATCTGAGACAAATATCAATACAAATGAAAGATACAAAATTTGTTCCAGAAATCGTAAAAATATCTACGAAATTATATCATTCTAGTTTCATGATATTATTCCTAAAACTACCTCTATTTATCGACACATACAATGTATCTATAAGATATACATATAATAAAATCGTAGGAAGGTTAAAACTTCACATTGAATATATTTTCAAGAGAATACCTAATCTACAATCGATATCGAAACTCAAAATATAGTTTTCAAAATGTTTGTCTATTTGTCTGTGTGTCTGTATGTATGTCCGCGCTCAACTTAAAAAGTACTGGACTTACAGGTCGGGTCAACATATAGGCTACATATTCTCCCGCTATCACCTACGGGGGAGGACCTGTGAAGAACTATCCAAAATCACTATTCGACGCGGACGAAGTCGCGAGCATCTACTAGTTATTACTACAATCTTGTTGTCGGATACAATAAATAAATCCTGCAAATAAAATCGTTTACAAAGACTTCCATTTATCTTAGAACCAATCTTTTACGACGTATAAAGATTTAGACTTGTAGGATATTTCCGATATTGCCTGTATACTATTTTCGATAAAACAGGAAATTTGTTATCAATTTCTTTCTCTTTGTTTTTTTAACTAAGAGTATTTCTTTTTTTTTTTTGTTGCTATAAGATGGTTAACTAAAAAGCACGGGTTACTCACGCGAATATAGGTACTGAGAAAACCTCTACTAGTTTCGAACCACAGAGGGGTTCTTTTTCATGAGCAGCGTGCGCGGTCGCGAAGATGTCGCGCAGCCTACTTTTTTAGTTATATTATAATATACTAATTTTGTTAATTTAGTATGTCTCACGATAGTTATTATAAAAACGATAAGATGGTGTTTGCTCAAAATGGAATGAATAACGCCTATAATAATATAATTTGATGTAAAGATTGCATTCCATTGAAAATGTTGAAAAAATCAAAGTAATTTAAGATTTCATCATCATCATCAACAGCCTATAAGTGCCCGTTGCTGAGCAAAGCCTCTTCTCACACGAAAAAGGTTTGAGCATTAATCACCACGCTTGTTCATTGCGATTTCAAACTTACAATTAGAAATTATAAGTCCAGGTTTCCTAACGATGTTATCCTTAAATAAATTTTTAAATTACATATAACTTGGAAGCAGTCACATTGGTACTTGCCGTTGATATGTTTCGAATCCACACTCTCATACATGAGAAGCGGGCGTCTTAAATTTCCGGGCCACCAAGACATTATTTAAGATTGGGAAGGACAATAATTTCAAGTTTGTAAAAAAATAATATGGAAGACAGTGTCATTGCTGCTAGCCCGCATAACTACATTTTTATATTTGTAAACAAACAAAACAATAAAGGAGAAATAGTTCCAAGAAAAATCCATAAGTTCCATGTACCATACAAGGCATTGTAAATCAGGTCTACCTAGGCGCGCCGAGTGCAGTGTGTCAGCGCGGTCAATGAACTCCATCGGACAAATTTTACTTTCATTAAATACCTGAAGATCTCCGGTAGCTAAGACATGGTGTGCTGATCTGATTAGTTGTTTTGTTGAAAATGTGCTTTGTTGTTAAGTGAATAGAGATTAAGTTAGGATGTTCTTGAGATGGGTTTTATATAGGAGGATCTTCACTTCACGTCTTCTTTTAATAAATTTACTCAATGTTAAATTTTAAAAATTATTTTTAGATGTGTTTCTAAATATTATGAAAAAAACATCATAACTACTATTCTATAATCTATTTAGCCTATGAATCTATCTAGGAATGCAAAGAACAATATTTAACCTATGCAAATATTATATCAAAAAGAATTCACTTGATTAGTTCATGTTGTCTTCTGTTGTGTTGGCTGTGATATCAAAATCAGGTAACGTTTCAATCTATGTAAATAACAGAGACATGATTATAAAATGAAACAATGACGAACCTGCCTGAGGGCCGATTTTTAAACAACAGTTATATAATTCTTAACTTTAGAATAAAATATTCAACGGTATTCCTCAGTTAAAATTTATCAGGCGTTGGAAAAATCGGTTCTAAATTTAAAACGTAGCAGACATATTAGCCTTTAAAACAGACATAATAGTAATTGTCAGACAATCGTCAATTGTAGGACAGAAGACGTCCATTCTGCTCTATTTCCAACACCGCCCCAAAAGTCAATTCAACTATGCGTCCAACAATCAGCCACTAGCCATTAATACCTCTAGGGTGAAACATACAATTGTCGTCCGTCCGCAGCAGAAGTGAGCAGGATTTCCAGTCCAATGTGTGTCGTCGCTGTAGGTCGCACAACGACCGACTGGGAAAGCCAGCTTTTACTCTTTCCACGACACCTGTCTATTGTCATAAACTGTCATTGCTAGTGCGCATTTCATTAGGTTTGAAATGACCTGGAGGGAATGTTTGACCCTTTAAGAGACATGTTTTTTCATAAACTCGACTATCACAGAAGGACTTCTTTGTTTGTTTTTGTTTATAGCTTTGCAACTGCTGAATCGATAAGAAAAGTTCGTCACCAGTAGAAAACTTTTTAGAGAGCTAAGTTATTTTTTTTCCTGTTTTTCTTATAAAGTTGGCATAAGCCACAAATGGATAATTTCAAACATTCTTTTTAGAAAACAAACTTTTGTTTTTTTATTTTTTTGACCAAAATCTGATTTTTTCAATATTTGTGTCTAAAAGTCAACAAGCTACGGCTCATTGCAATATGTTAGCATCCAATTAGAACCAAACATATTTTAGCACTTAGCTCGACGATGTCAACCTAACAAATGGCGAATTATGCTAAATATTTTGAGCGCTAATGCTAATATAAGTAGGTATTAGCATAAATTAGTTAAAATACCAACACATTAAGCTATTTTAAATTTCTTCAATGCA